CTTTTACAAAAAAAAAAAAATAAATATATATATATATATATATATATATATATATATATATATATATAATTTTCATTTTATTATTATTATTTTTTTCCTGTAAAAGAATGTACAATGGTTTGAAGGAAAATGAAATGACTCTATTTTTAACCATTCTTCTGGAGAAAAATCAACATGTTTGACTTTTCTGACAGAAGTCAGGATCTTACTTGTTTTATTGTGCTCCCTGCAGTTAAAAATACCATTTTTTTGAGTTGCAAGTTAAATTAGATAATGTTTCTGATTTATGAGTTTCGGTACCCTTCCCTAATTCCATGTGGTCAATAACTGATTTAATTTGAAGAAAAGGTCTATCATGATATAGTTCATTATCAGGATATGAGATGACTTTTATTGTGATCTGAAATATTTATCATGTTGCCCAGCCTATATGATTGTGGACCCAATTTGAACTTCTATTTCAGTGGATAAACAAGCTAATAACTAAAAAAGTAGTGACGAAGTTGCAGTGAATACTTGCAGTGAATTCTGAACTGTATCCACTGAGTCGCATTCTAGTTTTCCATCCCACCAGCCTGCACTTAAATGACTTTTGTTGCTTGTTTAAACTACTTAATTAAAATAAGGTTTTTATTTGGACATTGAAATGTTCAATCCACTTATATTTGTAAAAAAAAGCTTAACTTAATCGATTTGTGTTGTGACAACATGAAGGAATTGTGTGGAACCCAGCAGTTTTTACTCCGTAAAAAATTGCAGCATTGCACACAATTCATTCATGTTGTCACAACACATAGTTTAACTTACCTTCCCAAATTTAAGTGGATTGAGCATAAAACAACTAAGTTGTCTCCAATAAAACTGTGTAAAACTGTGAATTGTGTTATTACAGCTCATTTTAAATAACTAGTTTCAACAAGCAGCAAAAATATTATTTGGTGATATTTTACGAAAAGCCAACTCATCACTCCTTATAAATTTAATTCTGAAAAAATGTCTGTGCATCTGATCTCTAAAAAAAAAAACTGATAACACATGCTAACAAATTCTCTGTCATACATTCGGCAATAATATGAGAGAGAGTAGTGTCTTCAGCATACATTTTTAGTGCATTTACAATTATTTGTCTATAACTGTTGTCTCTCTTCAGATATTTTTATGGAGTTAAAAAAATTTTGTTTCTTTGTCTGTGTGTAGGTGGAATGGAGTCATACTCCGCAGCCCATAGAGGTGTTTGTTTTCTGTTTGAGGGCCGTGAGAGACAAGCTGCCCAAAGGTCTGTACTCGCTGAACGTGTCTCTCCAGACTCAACTGGGCGGCCGCACGTTGTGTTGGTCCCGTCTGCAGGAGCAGCAGTGTGCTGGAAACACAGAACCCGTGGAACACCAGGGCAGATACTGTGACATGGAGCTTAACATTAACCAGAGCCTTTACATGGTAAGAAAAGCCCAGCAAACTGCACTCTTGGGATGTCCACAGCACTGTAGTTGATTGAACTGAAATAAAAACAGGTAGTGCACTTGTAATGGTTGTTAGTGTGTGGAATCATGCTACGTTAAAGAGCACAGCAATCAAACCCCACCACCTTTACCATAGAAACTGTGGTATATTTTTCCACTATCAATCTTTAGTACTGTCCAGATCCATCTGTCATCTTACACAGGGGCGGACTGGGACAAAAATTCAGCCCTGGCACTGTAGCCACATCAGCCCACATTACCACACCGACACAGCCCCACCCACGGACACGCACATTCAGTATTTTTTTGGTGCACAGATGGTAAAATAATATGACATTCTTGCCAGATTTTGATAACGTCCGAGTGACCTCGGATTGCGTCGGCCAATCTTGAAAACAGGCGAAATCGCCGACTGGCCACATGCTTAACATTTATTATTATTCTTATTATTCTTATTATTATTAATATTATTATTTTATTTTTATTTTTTTATTTTTATTTTATTTTTTTATAAAAAACATTTTATCAACATCATAATATCACATCTAGCAAGAGATAAAAGCTGCTTGAACGTAAAAACAATGCATATTAAAAAAAAAAAACAAGAAAAAAAAACTGACCGGCCCACATTTAAAAATTGGTCCGGCCCTTCTGGCATTTGCCAAAATTGCCAGATGGCCAGTCCGCCCCAGATCTTACACACAGTATTTGACACACTGTTAACAATGTTTTGTAGAATCTTACTGGCAGCAGTTCACCAGTAAATCAATTACAGCACCATTTACCTTGCTGTATGCTTTTAAAGTATTGTACAGGTTGTTTTCACATGACGTCATTGATGATGCGTGAAATTCAGATGGAGGGCAAGAAGTGGTTCTTCTGTCTGTCAGAACTTCAAGAGGTTTATGTTTTGTGTTGTTTATAATTGTTTAAATCGGCCAAAAAAAAAAAAGAAATTCCGAAAAGCTTTTATAGACTTCCTAAAGTTTTTGCCTCTAAAAAGGGGGAAAGTTTAAGAAACTGTCTGAAAAACGAAGGAAAAAGTGGCATTTAATAAACCATTTTTCATCAGTATATACATAATTTTTCTGAATGTGATAATTTGTTTGATGGGCGACGCAGTGGCGCAGTAGGTAGTGCAGACGCCTCACAGCAAAAAGGTCGCTGGTTTGAACCTCAGCTCGGCTCATTTGACGTTTCTGTGTGGAGTTTGCATGTTCTCCCTGCGTTTGCGTGGGTTTCCTCCGGGTGCTCCGGTTTCCCCCACAGTCCAAAGACATGCGGTACAGGTGAATTGGGTAGGCTAAATTGTCTGTAGTGTATGAGTGTGTGTATGAATGAGTGTGGGGATGTTTCCCAGAGATGGGTTGCGGCTGGAAGGGCATCCGCTGCGTAAAAATGTGCTCGATAAGTTGGCGAATGAATTTGTTTGACATCACATATAAAGATTATATACAGGCCTAGCTATGTGTATCAGTATGTTAATGTGTTATATAAAAATCAAATACAAACACCACCACGCTCATACAAAATCCACGAGAATATAAATAACGCATCCTGCCATGTAATCGCTGTACTGAAATCTCCTTCTTGTTTTGCAATAATCCAAGTCTTTACTGGCATTTTGGTGGAATTAACAACGTAACATTAACATCAAGATGCGCAGCAGCGGTGGATTGTTGGTTTGTTGACGGAACATTGACAGAACAAAAAAGAAAGGCCCTTGCGAGCAAAACCAGACGGTTATTATACTTTCCCCCTTAAAAAAATAATCATAATAATGCGTTTACGCTTTTGTATGCGTTCATCTGTTATTTTGTGATGCTTAAAAGATATCCGCATATGAAAAAAAGATTGTAATTTATAATGCATAAATTACTATGTAATTTATAATATGTTTTGTATAATATAAATAGTAATTTATAATATGTTTTTATTTCTAATAATTACTATATTAATTTATTATATGTTTTTGAACCACATAGTAAAGTGTATAATGTGTACAACTCTTTGTTAATTAATGCTACTGAAAATTGTACTATGGTAAACTGTAGTAAATACTGTAAAGTTAGTGCAAACTGTGGTGCATTGCGATGGTGTATAATTATAGTGTAGAAAACTGAAGCCTGTTGAATAATATGTTTGTTACTAAAGTTGTGTTCTACCACAGCAACAATATAATTACTACGACAGTTTATTTCAAGTACTGCAATTATCAGTAATATGCTTGTAAATACTACAGTATTTACTATAGTATTTTTTTCATGTAACACAGTAGCTTATACAGTATATTCCGCTTCAATGCCTGGCAAATGGATTTTAGTTCATTACAAAATTCTTCCCTCTTCAAAATATAACGATCATGTCCAACATATGTGGCTATTTTCTATTTATATCTCCTTTAAAATATGGCACAAATCGCAAAAATACAGACTTTCCTCTATGTCTCCCATTCAGTTTTTTACTGCCCTCCATCTGAATTTCATACGTCATCAGAAGCATGTGATCGCAAACAACCTATATCTTTACCCTAAAATATACAGTAGTTTTCACAATGCAACTTTAAAATACAGTACCATACTGCATAACTGTCCTACAGTAAAGTACTGTTAATATTACAATTAAATACTGTGTAATTTACAAAAAATTATTTAACAGTGTAATTTTGAAATCATTTCTTTTATGTATAAAGTATTAGTTTGTGTTTTCAGTTTTCTAATTAAGAGCAAAAACGCTTCCATTCAAAACTTCAGATTGGGTTTTATTTTTATTGCGTTTATGTACAGTTGAAGGCAGAATTATTAACTCTCCTGAATTTTTAGTCCCTGTGTTTTTCCCCCAATTTCTATTTAACAGAAAGAATTTTTTCAACACATTTGGGGACATGATAGTTTTAATATCTTATTTCTAATAATTTCTAATAATGATAATCTTTTTTTTTTGTCTTTAATTGTCATGATGGCAGTACATGATATTTTACCAGATATTTTTCTATACTAGTATTCAACTTAAAGTGCAATTTAAAGGCTTAATTAGGTTAATTTGATTAACTAGGCAAGTTAGGGTTAAAAAAAAAATTAATATGAAAAAATATATTGCTTAAGGGGGCTAATAGTATTGACCTTAAAATGGTAATAAAAACTAATAAAAACTGCTTTTCATTCTTGCCAAAATAAAGCAAATAGAATTTCCTCCACAAGTTCTTGCGCTGTTACTCATCATTTGGAAAAGGAAAAAAAATAAATAAATACAGGAGGGCTAATAACTGTATGTAAAGTATTTATTAATTTAAAATGCTATTTTTAAAGCGAGTGAAAAGAAGATAAACATGCAATCATTTAAAATGAATTGTATGAAATGAATCATTTGAAACTGAATCACTTGAAATGTAATTAAGCTAATTATAATTTTACATTTAACAACAACAACAAAAACAACGAAAACTAACCTCTCAGTAAATATTTTTCATTTTCAGTTCACTGCAATTTGGGTTTTGTACAACATCCAAAAGATGATAGGGAAAAAAATGGCTTTTCACTGATTTTAAAAACAATAGTAATGTTGTGTCTTATGTGTTATGAGAAAGGATTTAACTACAGAACAAAACTACTCCAGTTATTCTGTGTGGTTCCATGCGAGTTGCTGGAGATGGAGTCAGAATGAGGCTTGAAATGATATGCGATGTTAAACATTGAGTGTGTGTATGAGAGTGGAAAGAGACTGTATTAAAAACCTCTGCAAAAAGCACAAGGTTTGACTTGTGAAATAAACAGCTGCTTTTCTAACATAATGTTTAGTGTTTGAATTTTAAATCAAATTTAGAATTCATTATACAAAAGCTTATGCTTTATTAGGATGGACACAAACCGTTTTTAAATTTCTATTTGTGTATTTAGTAAATTATTAGTGGCATTTATAGTAAAAGTGTAAATGAAGATTAAAGGAAATGGTGCTTTAGCATTTAGCATGATCAATATGTTGTTTGTCTAGTTTTGCCAGAGTTTTGTATGATTTTTATTTTATTTTATTATTATTATTATTATTTTAGGAATTAACACATTATCACTGTGTTGACAATTCAATTGTTTTAAATATAGAATATATAATTATCAGACTTCTGTTTTTAAGATAATAATATAACGGTATGAAAATTCATATCATTATTGACTACGATTATCTTGGATATCAATATTATCATAGTTTTGTAGAAATAAAGTAAAATGTTTAAAATGAAATTTCACAAACACTTAAGTCATTCCACCCTTCCACCCCACCTATAAAAAAAAAAAAAAAAAAAACTTTTTTGTTATTTTGTGAAAAGCAACATATACAAGGATCTGTGCATTTTGGATTAATATTCTCTTTGTATTATTTAATGTGCATTTGAGTTTTATAAGAACATTTAATTTTCTTTTTAAAGGTAATGTTTGAAGACCTGCACTTGGAAAACTACCCCATGGGATCCATGTTTGTTTTTCACAAAATCACATAAACCTTGTTTATAAAAGCAAAAAAAGGTTGTGCGATTTGACAAAAATATCTGATTGTAGTTTTATTTTTGACTGATTTTGCTATTTTATTTGTGATTAAATTTCAGTCTTCAGCTCAATATTCTCAGTAAAGTGTAGCACACACTTTAAATGAAAGAAATAACGTATCTTTTTTAAATAAATGTATATTTATTAACTGTCTGTATAAACATGCATTTACATAACAACTAATCGCAACGTTACAGACTTTACTGTGAGCTTTCAAAATCACAATTATCAAGTATGATTTTAATTATAATGAAAATTTAAAATGGTAATACTAACTATCAGAAAATTTACTGTGGTTTACCTTGACACTGGTTATTGTGACAACTATATCATTAGCTACACTAATAATAAGTACATGTACATTATTGATTTCCAAAAAAAGGGGGATGGGGTAAAAAAAATGAAATATTATTAATAATAATAATATATATAGATGTATATCTTGTATACATTCATGAGGACAGAGGGATTGCTATTTGACTGTTGTTTTTTATATCAAAATAATCATATATAGAATTATTATTCTAATTATAAATAGCATATGCACAATTAGCAAAAATGTAGTATAAAATATATAGATAAAAAAATATAATTTAATGATATGTTATATATA